TTTAGTAATTAAATAGTTTTTAATAAATTTATTGATCAATCTGCGCAGTTGATATTTATATTATCTAATTTTCTCTTAATAATGCAATAGCAAATTACATGTGACATAATAATGGGAAAGTATAAAAATATTACATAAGTTATAATAAGGTTGTAACTATATCCACATTTTTTATTATATTATTTTCTATTCTTTCTTCTATTTTATATATATTTGTAATAATATAGATTTTTAAGTTTAAATTTAAACTTAATGATTAAAAATCAATTTAAAGTTTTAAGTTTTTGAGGAAAAAATATTACGTTTTGTAAGAAAATAATAATACAGAATTAAAAAATAATTATTGAGTCATACATGTAACTTCGATCAAAGTGAAATTCGTAAAATTGAAAGTACACATTACACAAAATAGGATTCATAGATGATTTTTTGATGTTATTGACGGGAAGATATTATACACACAATATTCTTTAAAAAAATAATATATTTTATAAATATTGTTCTAACAGGAGAATTTGTGCGAGATGTTCCACTAACATTTTAATTCTCGACAAAATGATGCAAGAACATGCCATGAAACATAAGAACTTTGATGTTAACGTACAATCGAGTTTGTCATCGTATTAGTAGACGAATGTAAGAACATAAGTACTGGGCGAACGACCACTTCGTCGACGAAACGCGTTTACAATAGCGAGCATAACGCGTGGTTAGAAAGCATGCAGAGAAACTCTTTTATTACGTGGAACTATGGCTATGTAGGACTGCGTCTCATCAGGGCTAGAATGACTCGTGCGAATTATCGCCAGAGGCAGATCTTAACACCTTGCACTTTCCCCTTCCGTACAAATAGCGCATTTCTTTCGTGACGTCATGTCGGGAAGTTGATGACCATTTTAAACATCTAAAGTTTTAACACGATGTTTCTCTTTATAATTGAGTAGCAAGAATGGAAGATTTCTTTAAGCTTGTTAGTGCGAGAAAGTTTGCTTTTACGTTTTTCTATTTATAATATTATTCTTGGTGGTTGAATGGACTGATTGTATATAGACAAATATTCATTACTTAAATGCAAATTTTAACTCTATAATCATAGAATATTATATTAATAAGGCATAGATATTGGAAAATAAAAGAATGTAAAGTGTTTTATAATGTTATCTAACAATTTGATTTTATATATAAGAAAAATAAATTATCGTTTATTTATATTTCACATGTATGTTTCACATTTTGTATATTTATATTTCAGTTCCAAATAATATTTAATTTTAAGTATAATTTAATATTTAATTTTCAATTAATAATTGTTTATTATATTATTATAAATATTATCATAAATACAGTTTATTTTGAGAAAAACTGTTCAGTTTTAAATAATTTTAAATTTTTGAATATAAAAAAACATCAAATTGTACAAGCAATATTTTCGTATATATTTTTCTCTTTTTTTACATTTATATTCACATTTATTGACAGAATATCTCTAATAATATCTCTAAAGTTAAATTTATACAATAATATTTATTATTATTTATCTTTTATTTATTATTTGTAAATTTACATTTACATGTTTTATTTTTATATTAATTGCTTTTTATTCTCGTTTAAAATATACTGCATAATTGTTTATTAATTTTGTTGCACTTTGTAAGATTTAACGTAACACAATGACGAAATAAAAATAATTTTTAAAATGCAAAAAAATGTAGCATATTGAAATAAGTAAGTCTGAAAATGCCTGCAAACAAGGAAATTTATACGGAAAATAGCCGGATACTTCGGTTATATGGGGCGCAGTACTGCTTAAATTCACGAACCGTAAATTGAAACGCAACACGATGGGCAACCGGCGTAAAGGCCTCCGGCCTCTGTTTCACTGGATAACTGTATAAAAATATTATGGGTATCTATATTGAGAAATTGACAGTTCAAGTGATCTAAAACTTCGTATTGATTACTTTATTTTATCAAAGTTTATGATTAATTACTTTGTTATTACAAAATTAACAATCGTACGTGTGCAATAAATATACTTTATTTAATAATATTTAAGATATATTTGACTTAAAAATAATATTTAAATATTAATATATCACAATTGTGCTCGATTGTGTTACATCATATCTTTTGTTATTAAAACGTGCAATAAATATGAACACAAAAATTATACAAGATATACATTTTTTACTTTTATAAAAGCATGCATGCTTTTTACTATTTTCACATTTGTTTAAAGTATATAATTATTAAATTAAAAAAAATAGAATGGGTTCTATTCGAATAATAATAAAAGAGATTTTTATATAAAAATGTTTTGTTCTAAAAATGTGTTTCTATTAATATTAATGTAAAAGGTTAGTTAGTTATGGTTAGTTTTTTATGATATAAGTATTAACTTTTATTAATTTTTATTTTTTATTAACAACAACTACTGTCTATACTTTGTAATTTTAATTTATTATAAAATAACAAATCACATTTTATTTTATTAATTATTATAATTTATTTTTGATTACTCTACAATGCAAGTTTTATTAAGTATAATAAGTAATTTTGAAAATAAAATCTGAGATTGATATATACATAACAGAGACTTACCACAAAATATACTCGGAAAAAACTCGCATGTATTTCATGTATTTATATTCTCCATTGTTTGCTAAGATAGCAGATTTCTCTCACAGCACTAGTTGTTTATTAATAACATAAATCTTGTTGAATGTTGATCTCTTGCTCCACTATTCACTTAGCCACCGCCCTTTACAATAAGAAGCACATAGGACTATGAATAACACCCTTAGTAATCCTTATTGATCGGCGTGGCTAGACGGTCTTATAATTCATGTCTTTTTGTACATATAACGAACATAAGCATGAATTGTCGAATTTTATTACAAATATATGAATCAACTCATTTTATTCAATTAGATCTTTTTTTTATAAAAAATCGCCAATTTTGTCATATCTTCAAATAAAATTCACATTTTACTTAAACTTTACTTTAATGTTCACATATAATAATTTGATTCGATTTTTAAAAAAATCATTATTTATCCAGAGTCTCTTTTATTCTTCAAATCTCTTTTTTCTTTAAAAATTCTTATTTCACTGTTATCTTAAATATTTTATTTTGTTTTATTTATTTTTGGCGTTTCATCTTTCTGAGATCTAGTTTTAGTACACACTGTACATCGCACTTAACAC